CCCAGACAGTTATCAAATTCTCAGACATTTGATTAATATAGATATTTGTACTTCCGTTGACCAGTGGTGCTGGTGTGACTGAGATTCGAATCTAATATGTTTCATTTTTATGTAAATTGAGAGGAATAAAATTTTATTTTAAGCGTTTTAACAATCTTAACGTTTGGCGTGCAGCTCAACTTAATACACAATCAAAGGTCAGAATACAGAAATAAGAACATGCCTTTTATTTGTTATTCAAGCTCCAGCAATATCCCCGTTATAAAACCAAAATAACTGCGGTTAGGTACCATATCTTGATTACAGTTAAGACAGGCCATCTCATTTTGGTATGCCAGAGCCACTCTTATCTGCCGATTGTGGAAGGATAAAGACAAAGGGGTTGCGGCTATCGCGATGAGGCCATCTTATTTCTAGGAATTATTTCTGCCTCTCATTCCTTAAACCGGCTTTGTTAAACAGTGCCAAAATATATAAGTCGGAGCCAAAAACAAGACTATTTTTATATTTAAATCCCCTCACCTTGTCAATGTCTATGCTATGCCTCAGGCCTGTCAACTTGGGAACACCTAACATGAGTGACTTGGAAATGTTGAACACCTCCCCTCTAAATGTGGACACCTTGGTCCAAATCTGAACACCTCGATCCAAATTTTGAACACCTTGGTTTAAATTTTATTACATCTTGTGAAATTTTGAACACCTCAAATTTTTCGCGATCGCTACGCTCGCGTTTCAAACATCCATCAGCGGGGGGGGGGTGGGAACGAACATTTTCGGGACGGAATGCGTGACATATTAGTGATTCGCGTGAAAAGTCCGAACGAAATGCGTACGTTTTTTTTCGGCGTTCGTATTTTTGCTGTGTAGACGAACTTTTTGAGACATTTTTCTACAGAAATTTTTTTGCTTGACAATTACCAGGTAAAATGCGTATTTGCGTGACATTTTCTGTCACGCAAAAATAACTGGCGTGACTTCAAATTCTTCAGCAAATGCGTGACAAATACGCAAATTTGTTTTGGACAGTTGACAGGCCTGATGCCTGAATCTGGTTTTCCCACCTTTGGGAGGGAGCCAATATACACATAGATTACTTACTGGCCATGGACGGGGGGAGGGGCACAGAAACGAACATTCTGGGGTCATAAGGGATACTTGGGGAAGAGGGAGGGGTGGTGGTGAATAGTGAAGTCCGGGAGTGAAGTTAAGGGGTACTGAAATCTTTCTTTTGATATTTAGTGCTTGAATGAAGACTTGTTTCCACCCCCCGCATTCTAGTAGAATTTAAATATTTGATCCAAAGGAGTTATTTTAAATCAAACTTGCATTCCGATTAATTAACACTCCAATGATTGTACCGCTTCACTATTGTCTAAGATAATTATAATGAATTCACGGGACACTATAGTATATAGTATATTTAAACTTTAGTGGTTGGATGGAGACTTGTTTCCCCACCCGGTACACTAGTAAATTTGTAAATTTTAAATATTTGATTTAGGGAGGTATTTGCAATCCAACTCTGATGATGCAAGACTAGTCAACCAAGACTAAATTATGAACTTATTATCATTTAGACTATTGAGTTCATAAAATTATAATTCCATAGATATCATATTTAATCCTGTCAACACAATAATGGTATTAATTGGCATGATATGTAGTCAGAGACGGTTTAAAAAGTTGTTTAGATTAATGATAGTATTAGGAAAAATCCTAACTCAAAGTTTTTGTTCTCTCGCAATCCAGAGCAAACCACTCGCCGGGCAAGCATTCTTTAAAAACGTGAAGTTTTCACCATGTTGAACAGTTTTGAAAATTGTCCAATTTGAACCATCGCCTTGTATATTTCTGTAACTGCCCCCCCCCCCCTTGACACTCGAGTGTAAGAATCCTTTCCACACTGTCAATGGTTTTACAAAATAGTTCATGTCAGGAAGGGGGAGGGGTGAGTGTAGAGAACAATCACTGACTGCGATTTGTATGATTGAACATTATACACTTATCATAAATTCGTAAAGAATAGTTTTAAAATAAACAGCTTGTTTTATTTTATGATTGGAGTGATGTATGCATAGAAGAATGACACTGGTTTTGAAATATCTTAATTATCCCATTGAATAAAGCCATCCGTCCCTCTGTCCATTTTTAACTCATCCTGGTGGACTGATTTGATTTAAAGGAGAAGTCTCGGTGTAGAACGTGTACACACTAATGGGAACGAATTTTACTCATTTCTATTTAGGATTCGTTCATATACTAGCGGGGCTTTAGAGCATTTACAAACGCACGAATTGTATTGTTTCAAGGCAACTTTTATGACATATAATGTATTTAAAGCTGATTAATTTTAGATTATATTCGGTTCAATTTTACAAATAATGAATAGTATTACAGTATATCGAAAAATATACAATGATTTACATTAAATTGCGCAGACTGCAAGCAATGTACATGGTTGGCGAATTTACATGCGCGTTCTTGATAATAAGAATTAAAGGTTGAACTTAAAAATCAAACATTTTCTTTTTTAAACATAATAAATCTTTAAATCAAGAAAATAAAAATAAGATTGATGATTGAACTTTTCATAGTCAACTGCGACTGTGTCGACGCATGTTTATTTACTTAGCTAATTAGATATGTAAAATTGTTAATGGCCGCAACGGATAATACGTACATGTAAGCTGTTCGGATAAGACATTTCTATATGATTAATAACAAATGTTATTCAGCAGAATGTTATTCAGCAGTAACAGATCTTATTAGTTATTATTCAATTTGGATAATAAATCTATTATCTCGTCGTATTGATGTTTATTATATAGTGTTTCTCGTTGTGAAAACATGTGTTAGAGCTGCTTTTACATATATAAATGTCAGGAAATAAACAAATAATGAACTCAATTTTAATTTTACTTCAAATCCTGGTTTAAAACAGCATGTAATTATCAGCCTTAGCTTTGATCTTGTCCTGGTATATATTTCCAGAATTTCCATCTGCTTATGTTTATTTCATATAAATTTCTCTCTATATTTTGAATGAAGTATCTGATTTTCTTGCATTTTTGAATAATTTAGAGTGTTAACTACATGTCTGCATAATTCATTCCTTGTCAACCTATCTCGTTTGTGCTTTATTTTTCATTTTAAAAAATTACTGTGATATCTTTTTGTTGGCTTTCCATTACTCTGAACGATATAATTACATGATGGGATCATCAGCGTGATTAAAAAAATGAAATGAATTGCAGCACAATCAATGACTGTGACACCACGTCCAGTGTATCTCTAATTACAATATTCAAACACCCCAAAATGCACAATATGTACTTAAATGCCTCCAGTTCAAATAAATATTGAGTAAACAATTTTTTTAAATGGAAATTCCAAAAATATCAATTTTGTTTGGATATATTGAAGAAACGATCACCCTGAAGACGTGCCAAGTTACTGTGAATGACCTCTCCTACAGCCAATTAGCTAACTAACCATACATACAGTGCATTGTGCATTTCATAGAATTGTAACAGAAAGAAAGTTGCAGACCATAACAAGGAAACAATGCATTATTAGCAACTTTTTATATCACACATGCTCTTTCTCAAGTGACCAATATGTCCCTACAAAATAATCTCATGCTTATTTATCTAATCTGGAAATGAAGTGACGAAAAAATCTTGAACTTGACCCTCTTATGACGTATTAACATGAAGATGGTTTGATCCTTCATTCGATAAAGAGAAACGAATCAAAAGATTGATGATGAGATGTGAATGGTTTACAAGGGCTCCATCAAGCCGATCTTTTTTTCAAACAAGGACACCATAGAGTTTTTCTGATTAAAAAACAAAGTAGACAAATAAGCCATTTGTTCCCGTCAATTGTCCTATAATCTTTTACCGACAGATCAACCCATCAACAAAATGATGCAAAATGTGAAAACAGTTAATCCGATCACATATAATTTGTAAAAATTGTTTTATCATTATTAACTGTGATTAATCCCGACCTGCCACTTACCTTCTTGTTACGACTCATAATTCAATCATTATCAGAGACGATACATTTTTCCACATAGACTGGACTCTGCTCATTTACCGATTAAATGCAATCTGACAACAGCCTTGTCATGAAGTAATTCATCACAGCTAAAACTACTGACGATTTCTACAAGTTTTACAGCCGATTCATGAGTTATCATAAAAAGCATACAATTTAAAAAATCAATGCCTTACGTCTCTAAATCGATCATTTATTAAAACAGCACTTTCATCCGATTAGAATAAGTCAAAACTTTTGCTTATAACTCAAGCAAAAAATGTCAAATTGACTTTGTTAAAATGCAAAAAATAGAAAGAAAAGAAAATGAAATAATCAATAAATCAAACAGGTTTGAAATAAGAGCAATATTGTTTAAAAATACCAAAAGCTTGAATGGTCTTCAATCACATTTTAGAGAGAAATTGAGTGGAATTTACATGACTGAAGAGACATTTCAGCATGAGTAAGCCTTTCCATCAAAAAGTTGAATGATGAGATGAAGGGTTCTCCATCATACGTGGAAGTTGAGCAATTAACAAGAATGAGAAATTAGAAGTTGATGCCAAAGAGCATGGCACACATCTAGTGACATTTGATATTTAAATCATCAAATGTTATTTGAAATAGACACATTTATAACCGTACTAATTCTAAAATGAAGATATTAGTCCTTATTTAACCTAAAGATCTTACGAATCAACCATAATCCATTTTAGATCAATCTATAATTTACAGAATTCATTCATTAAATCTGAATCTAAGTAGAACAAAACTTTTAAACACAAGTCTAATACTATACTGTGCATAAGACAGGATACAGAGAATGCACCAAGGGCGTCATCAGGAAAACATACATTACCCAAATCCCTACAAACCATATACTACAATTACTTTATAAAGTATCACATACCTGTACTGTTCTCGAATGAGCTATGAGGAATTCCTCTGAATTGACCACTATATCATTGGTGTTCGGTGAAATACAATGAAGCGGACTTGTTTGTATTTGTTGTTGCGTTTTCGCTTTGCACTCTGGCGCCATCTGGGGTTGAACTTGTCGCGGTGTAACCTGTTGTATTTTTTTGGGAGAATTCCTTTGCAATTGTTGTAATCTCTGTGGAGATTGTTCTTGTAATTGTTGTAATCTCTGTGGAGATAGTTGTTGTGATTGTTGAGGGGCTACTTGCATTGGCTGTGACGCTGATAGACGTAAATGTTCAGGAGGCAATGGCAGATGTTGCGGAGATACTTGCGTTGAGGTCAAAGATGATGACTGTGTGATGAACATATTTTGCTTTCCTTGAGGAGATTTCTGTATTAGGACAGAATCAGACTTAAGAGATGAAACGCTCGGGTTAGACCTTACAGGGTGGGGATTGGGGTGGGGATACCTCCATGCTGGCCCCATTCCCAATGTTTGGTCAGATGATGTTATATGACGTAAAGGTGGCGCTGGTGATGTAGGTTTTCGATGCTTCCCTCGTTGGCTCCCAGATTCTGTCAAGTTTTCGTATTCAGAGTCGGATCGCATGTAACATATCCCCTGTTCCGATACGCTGATGTCACCATAGTTCTTATATTGCCATGGTGACTGTTGAACTTGACCAGGCTTACTATGGGGCAATTGTCGATTATGGTTGCCATGGTAACCTGAATGGTCACTATGGTTACCCCCATGATATTCAGAATCAGAGAAACAGTGCCCCCTGGTGTTTACTTTCTGCTGATGGGGCAGTGACATGTACTCATTATGTTTGGCTAAACGCACGGGAGTTGACTGCTGATTTTTCCGCATCTGAACCCATTTGTTATGATAATGCTGCCACTGTTTATTTTCCCGATCACGCTGTTCCTGCCATTTTGTTACCTCACTGTCCTGTTTCGTGAATCCCTCTGCCGCACAAGATAAAGTGCTTCCCATCTTGGAAAAATCCTCTCAGATACTTCCACAATTGAAAACTCCTAACAATTTTATTTCAAATCGGATAATTATCAGAATATATTGAAATTCTGAATTGTCATGAAGTCAGTTGTTATGACAACTACGTAAACAAATCATGCAATGCACTGACTTCAAAGGGCTTCGGCAAATAATCATCACATAATCAGACACATCAGTTGTTCAATTTATATCCAAGTTTATATGCATTGAATGGTCCATATAACTTTAATCTGGCTTTGATTCAGATATAAGTTAATTTGATTATATGTTCAGATGTACGCAGGTAACTCATATGTAATCCAGTACGATTTATCTCAGTTTGTCTATTTATTCACTTTTATTTGAGATTGTTTCGTTCGTCAGGTCAGTTACCTCATTGTCTGGTTTTAAATATGTAGAAATGAAACGAAGTATCAATGTAGAACTCTTGCAAAATTAATCTATATTAAATGACTACAACGTTTCCTGGTCTCAACTCTTGTGAATTTGAAAAAAAATTATGCTCATAACTTAAGTATGTAACTATAAACAAAGTTCAAAAGTTTCAGACATTCTTTGAGAGAAAAATATGTTTACTTAATTTTGCAAATCAGGACTATTTATTATGAGGTCACATTCAATATTATGTGTAAATATGAAATTGATATATAAAATCCAATAAAATGTATTTATTATTTTAATCCAGTTTTTTCGCACAATTTCCTTGACTTAGTTATATCCATACAATTTAAATCAAATCATGTTTTTTCTATAAATGAACTCAACTGTGAATAATTCATTCAATTTGGATTTAATCTAATATGTGTTTTCTGTGACTTTTGGTGACATGTTATTTAGAAGGATTATAACCTCAATCAAAAGTAAAGTCAAGTGCTTTTTAAAATGAGATCAGTTCTAAGAATATTTGAGATTTAGCCATTTTTTAGAAATGCGAAATATTCTACAAGAGTTCCAAAATGATACACGCCAATTTGGTTACATCACTCATCTTTCCCAATCACTCATGCGAAAAAAATTCCTTATCGCGTATTATCAGATTATCTGTCAAAAATTCCCTGTCGAATTTCATGATTTTTCAACAACCCCAAAAAACATCAGAATCTGAATCTAGATTTCAGACATAGAGGACTGGTTCTTATTTTTAACAGTGAGATTACCAGATTATGGTTAACTTAATGGAATGTTAGTATTTGCATTAATCTACCTGTATACACACACCTGTCTTCACTCGCTCTTATCCAAGCTTGTGCTTTATGCTACTCGCCTCTCGAGATTTGATACATTTCAGCATTGATTCCTGATAAATGTATCAATTTTTTAATGTCTGGAGCTATTCAGGATTCAGCGTGAAGGTGGCCACAATGGAAATCCTTTTTCTTCTAGGTGCTGTATCATTCAATAAGTGAGTTGTTTTTTGTCTTTTTTGTAATAAAAGAGTAAACAAACAGCAATTTGTATCAATTGTTTTTTAATGCGTTTGTGTATTCAGCATCGGTACATATGGGTGCCTAAATGGAGATCCTTTTGTATCTATTTTACACCACATCAGCTGTAGTTTGGCCATTTTTGACAGTTTAAGATTTTATCCAAGTTGTTTCCAATTTTGAAATATCTCAGTTTGTTCAGCTTCCTTACTGAATTATGGCTCCTAAGTGTTTCCAACACAGAGATGAACTCAATCCTTTTTTAGTTCACATTTAAAACTCAACATCTAAATTGATTGACAGGTGAAAATGCATCACTTATCTGAAGTTTTTAAGTCCTAAAACATCCGTCAAAATTCTTTTCATTCAAATGTGTTTATTTATCTGTTTATGTCTTTATATTAATACAACTTAAGAGTACAATGTACAGAAGTGCAGTGTAGTATCCTATCCTATTATGCCAATTTAGTCAACATTTTTTATAAATCCCATTGCACTTACTGACTTCCAACGAGTACCTGGATTCTATTACGTACATGTACGCATAGATTTATCATTTAAGTATATATATATCAATATATTTCACCCCTTGTTATTATAACTTTGTCTAAAAACATATAAAATTGGTTTAACACCAAATAAATTACATTATACCATTTATTTATATGGAGTTACACAGCTGGAATATTTAACAGCTAAACTTGAGATTTTAATCAAGTTACCAACTTAATATTTGTTTAACTTTTTTTATCCTAAAAGCACAACTGGATAATTGTTTCTCTGCTTAGCACAATTTTAGGTGTTTGTATAGTCCATCAGATAAATCCTGTTTTGTAAGTTCTTCAACTTTTAGATTCTTTTCACAAATGTTCCTCCATAAATTTTCTTTCATTGAAGAAATTTCTCAAAAAGTGTTTAAAAGTACGGCAGATCCTAAATATGATAGTTTTATACTTTTAGCTTTTAAGTTACTTCTGGCCAAGCTTATGTACTTCTTGCTTTGATAATGTCTTACTTAAATCATACTTCTATTCAACTGAGACAAACGAATCATCTCATCAGTGCATAATTATCTGCCCAGACTGACCAGTTTACTCTCTATTAATTTGTTTCTGTATTTTGTCAGACTCCTATATCATTACAGTATCTCTGCTCTTAATTTCAAACTTGACAACTTATCTTCAACTTGCCAAAAATATGAGATTCACATTTTCCACTGAATCCAGCTGGTAATTTAAGGGATTTTTCTCTTAATAAGGCATTGATGCACAAATAATTGATGGGATTTTTGGCACATATTGATTGGGGAGTCACTTATGAGAGGTGGGGGGTTTTAACAAGCTGCTGCTTGCTCGTAATGAAAAGTAAATGTTTTAGGACAATTAAACATATCATTCGACTTGACATTTGTCATGGCTTTTATTTATGAATTATACCAGTGGTATAAACTGAGGCGCTATTGTAAGATGATAAATAAAAAATCCTTTTTTCGGGTTTTGGGGTAGATTGGCCATGTGTGTAACACAGCACAAATAAATCAGATTTATTCATTTATTAAGTACCAAATGTTATGAGAAGGAGACATTCTGTGCTATAATCTTATTTAACGAGCCTTTTGAACAAAGTAATGTCCATGATTTTCTCAAGCGTAAACCAATGGTCATGTTTTAAGGAAACTACAAGACCATACTGATACTCACTACTGCATCTTATTTCTAACAAAAAACTGATTGAAAATGCATGGTAACGCATGGACGGACCTAAAATGTAAAGGAAAGGTCCCAAAAATTTGCATAAAATTTGGGCCCTTATTTTGAAATTTTGCCTCAAAATCTGCAAATGTAGGCTTTAAAATTGGGCCTAAAATAAAAAAAACAACAATGATCCGTAATGTCAGTTAGTTATCTAAATTGCCCACAAAATTTGGGTCAAACAGTTCTTGTTGGACCTCAATTTTCAGGGTCTACCAAATATTTTAGTATTCTTTTTAAATGAATCATCCTCCTTTCTCCTTAAGGAGACAAATCTCTCCTACATAGACTCCTGCATGATTAAACTATTTTGGAGGATATTTTAATGTTGCAAAATAATTTTATTTAATGATACACAAAGTGAGTCAAATAAAAGATACTTTTTTAAACAATAGAAAACGCTAATGATAAATAACAAATATGATATATTTTAAAATACAGGGGATGTTTTTACTAAGTTAACGCTTCCGTTTCTTTTGTATTGTTGACATCAGATAATACACCCAGATGTACTTGCACTCAAATATATATCCGCTATTCCTGTCTCTTTTCACTTTTTATAAAGAAAAAACTATTTAAAATAATATTTTGACAAGAGATTAGAGTATAAATACTAATAGATATCAATCCCAGTCAAATATTATGCACTTTATGAAAAGCAACACATTTTTACATGATCTTTTTTTAACCCGGCATGTTTTGTGGTTTAGACATAGAGAAATTAGAGTTCGGAACAAAAATTATTCATTTTGATTAAAAACAGAGCAACCAAAAATCATTGATAATTGAATTTGGGGAAATGGCGTGCTGTTATATGGTACCCATTCTTAAGTTTTTAACATTGAGATGTAACCAAGATATAACTCTGATACTGAGTGACTACCAATCTTTATCTTAATTCATTAGGAAATGATGTCGCTTTGCGTGTATTTGGCTCCAGAGTTCTGAACAGACAGTTTTTGAATCGGTTTTAATCTGATTACAGTTTAGCTCCAGAGTGGCGATTATTAGATGTTTCAACAGGCCTTGCGTTTATGACGTGAAATAACATTTTTGTCTGGTTGGTTTTGGTCGCTATATGCCTAATTGTGTAATTAAGGATGAAGATTATATCTAATGTCAAACTCTAATCCTACTGTTGAAACTCTTATTTCCCTTGATAGTTAAAAAAAATGATTAGGTAAATAAAGAAGAAAACATGTATTACAAGGAGTCTAATGTAATTTATTAAATTTCAATTTGTAAAATAATATCTTATGTCATATAACATATTTACTAAATACTCATAAAGATTAAAGAAATTTGAATGTTATCATATAAAATAGTATCATGATAAAAAGTTATGAACTCAAAAGTATGAATTCGAGTATTTCCTTTTATGGTTCATTGGAATTTTCTATTCTATTTATTTGTATCAGCAAGGTGTGGGGGAGCAAGAATCTTAGAGGGGCAGTTAAGTGTTCATAACTATGCGGAACTTTAGGGAGCAAGGAGCTTTGTTTTCTATTTGCTCCTATTATCTATAATCTTGCTTCAAGACCCTTGACCCCCACCCCCCATCTACTGTTGTTGAAGATGATAAGGGGGGGGGGGTCTAGGGCCTTGAAGCAAGACTATATTTTCTTGAAAAATTACAATTTACACCTCACAAAACAGCTCTCTCTGATGGCCAAAAAGTCAGCCACATTTGAACATGACATTCTACATGTAATACCTGAGATATGAGGTCTATCAATTACAAAATAAAACAATCGCCAGATATCTGAACATCTGAGATCAAAGTAACTAAAACAAAAGAGCCTATCTATCTCTTAAAAAGCTACATTACCGAGATAAAACTTGACATTTTTCTTTGCTTTTTGGATTTACCTGCCAAACAAATGCTGACAAATTGCCACCTTTAATTAAAAGCCAAAAGGGTAATTAGGGCTTTATTGACAAAGCTTATCATATTTTCCCTTCTTTATTTACCCGACATGACCCTATGGGATAAAGAAAATCTATTGTATTTTGCTTAAACAAACTTAGTAGTTGATAATTATATATACTTGTCAACCATCTTCCTTTCATCAACTTGCTATATATATAATTGTGATTTACGATAATTTAATATTTTAAACATAGAGTTAGCATCCAAAAATTGAGTCAAATTATCCAGCATAGACATACGTACATATTTATTCAAAAGATAACCTACATTTTAGGCAT